GATCTGCTAAGGTCTAGATAGTTGGGTTTTATTCTAAGGACCAACATCCCAAGACCAACCACTGAAAATAGTTGCAAAACAAGAATACTTATTTCATATTGCAAAATTGCCATTGACCCCCAGAGTTATCTAGTGCACTTTAAGATATCAATGACAAATTTCACCAAAACGATTAAACAATGGCACTTTAATAAAGTATTGCTTGTCTTATGAGAAGTAAAGAACCTCTTGAACATCAACCTTCATTCCAATACCCTGTAGTAGGATTTATAAACTTTGCATAAGAGGAGCATACCTCTGCCTTGGAAAGAATGTCCCAGGGTGAATGTCCTGAAAAGAGACAGCAATGATCTCAAAGAGACTGGTGTTACCTAAAACAGCCACAGGCAGTATCATTTGTAAACCAGACCATACCCTGTGACAGCCAGAATGGCATTCACATTCTCCACATCCTCTCAAAGCAGCTTCTTAATGAATGACCTGAAGTAAAACGAGCAATAAAAACATGCAATACATGTTAGGAGGTCAAGATAAAACAAGTTTTCTCTCTTGGTAATACACAAATAAGTGATATAACTGACTATTGGGCTATTTTTTAAACTGCAGAATAACATTCTTGAGCAAAGTATTCTGGTCAAGATGGTGAAGTAGGTAAATGCTGTGCTTGCCTTTTCCCATGACCACATTAAATTATAACTAAAATATAGAACAATCAGCCTGGAGAACCATCCAAAGACTAACTGAACAGAAGTCCTTTAATTAAGGATATAAAGAGGAAGCCATCTCAAGACATGAAACTGGGCTGGCCCTGCACTCATGTGTGGTGGTTGAGAATCAGAAGGGATATCTCAGCTGCAGAGGCCCCCGCTCAAGAGCAAGGAGTCCTAGCCCCACAATGAGCTCCCCATCCCCGAACACCAGTGCCAGGAAAAGCAGGCCCCACAAAATCTGCCTGTGAAAATCAGCCGGGATTCCATCCATCCAGGTGTCCAGGTAAGATAGAAGGCAGCTGGAAACCCAGGTGTCTACTTAAAGAGCCCCACACAGACTCTCTCGCTCCCAGGCATTCACCCTGGGCTCTGGCATAAGGACAGTGGCTGGGGAGGTGCCAGAGACATACAAGGAGAAACTGAGTTGGGCGGCTTCAGAGCAAGGCCTAGAGGGAAAGCCACCATTGTCCCTGTGTTGAGCCTTCCTCCCACGAAGCGGGTAGGCAGACGCCATGTTTTCTGTGTTGATCCCTCCACCCACACAGCCAAATCTGAATTTTCATTAGCCTGGTGAACCCTACTCACTCCACCCTGGTGACTCTCTGGGACTCCACTCCACCTAATTTGAGCACACCAGAAGCATTTTCACAGCTAGCAGGCAACTGATGTTGGCCTGCCCTGCAGTCTTTCTAAGATAACTCTCATGTGCCTGCAAGCCCCAGGCAGGCAACGGCTGGCCTTGTGTGATCTACGACTTTTGCGGAATGACCTCAGGCTCAGCACTGGTGCCAAATTTAAATCTGCATTAACCCCTTGAAATGACTAGCCCCATACTGATGACTTCTTCATATTCCACCCCACTAAACTCTCATACTACCCGTACCACCCAAGACTCTTTCAGCGGCTGAGCTGTATGAACAGCTGGCAGGTGGTGGCAAGCCTTGGGTACCCTGGACCTTTTGCAGAGCTGCCCCAGGCCCAATACTAGTGACAGCTAGCTGCAGTGTGGCCTCTCCCATGCACCTCCAGGTCCAGTATAGTCAGCGACAAAGCTCAGATCACTTTGTAGCTCCTACCAAGTAGCTCTGGATAAGTCATAGCCATCAATGGACTTTGACCTGCACAAGAGCCCTTACCAAGAGGTCTCAGAACCAGCACACCAGAACAGAACCACACAACAACAGAACACCACCTGCTTAGCCCCATAAGCAGCACATCCAAACGTGTGCCAGCACCAGAGCCCGCTAGGGCAAATCTAGCTCTGCAAGGTGAGCCCTGCATACAGCAGTTCATATACTGTGGTCGTGGCCAGTCCTCATAGCCAATAAACTTGAGGGTCAATCTCACCCACTGATGAGCCAACAGCAGTCAAGACTCAACTACAACAGGAGGGCACACAATCCATACAAAAGACACTACTAGAGCATCCGGCTCAGGTGAACAGGGAGACTGCACCACTGGGCCCCACAGGACACCTACTACATAAGGCTACCCTGCGAAGACTGAGAGATGTAGCAGATCTATCTAATACCTAGAAACAAAAACAGGGAGGCAGCCCAAATGGGGAGACAGAAAATATGTCCCAAATGAAAGAATAAAACAAGGCTCCAGAAAAAGAACTAAACAAAATGGAACAATGATCTTAGGGGAAGGGTAGATTAATTCAGTTTTTAATCTTTTTAACAAAGAGATTTATAAAAACATAAAAATGGAGACAGAAAACATAAGAAAAAACAGTCAGAAATGAAGAATGCAATAACTGAAATGAAAAATACAGTAAAGAGAATCAACAGATGATTAGATGAAGCAGAGGGTTGAAACAGCTATTTAGAAGATAAGGTAACAGAAAACACCCAATCAGAATAACAAAAAAAAAAAAAAAGTCAAAAAATGAGGATAGTTTAAGGGGACTCTGGGACAACACCAAGCATACCAACACTCACATCTAGGGATACCAGAAGGAAAAGAGAGAGAGCAAGGAATTAAAAACCTAACTGAAGAAATAATGATAGAAAACTTCTCTAACCTGGCAAAAGAAATAGACAAGCCCAAGAAGAGCACAAAATCCCAAACAAGATGAACCCAAAGAGCCCACACCAAAACACATCATAATTAAAGTGACAGAAGTTAAATACAATGAGAGACTCTTTAAAGCATCAAGAGAAAAGCAGTTTGTTACCTACAAGGGAGCTCCCATAAGACTATCAGCTGATTTCTCAACAGAAACATTGCAGGCCAGAAGAGACTGGCATGAAATATTCAAAATGATGAAAAACAAGGACCTACAACCAAGACTACTCTACCCGGCAAAGCTCTCATTTAGAATTGAAGACAAATAGAGTTTCCCAGACCAAAAAAAAAAAAAAAAGCTAAAGGAGTTCATCAACATCAAGCCAGTATTACAAGGAATGTTAGAAGGACAAAAAGAAGATGAAGAAGAAGAAGAAGAAAGAAAAAGAGGAGGAGGAGGAGAAGAAAAGATAAAAATGTGAATAATAAGATGACAATAACTACATATCTATCAACAATTACTTTACGTGTAAATGGATTAAATGCTCCAATCAAAACATAGGGTGGCTGAACGGATGAGGAAATAAGACCCTTACATATGCTGCCTACAAGAGACTCATTTCTAATCAAATGACACACACAGACATAAAGTAAAGGGATAGAAAATATATTTCAAGAAAATGGAAATGGAAAAAAAAACTGAGTTAGCAGTATTTATACCAACTAAATTATACTTTAAAACAAAGGCTATAATAAGAGACAAAGACAGAAATTTCATAATGATAAAGGGATCAATCCAACAAGAGAATATAACTCTTGTAAATATTTATGCACCCAAAATAGGAGCACCTACATACATAAAGCAAATATTAGCAGACATTAAGGGAGAGATTGACAGTAATACACCCATAGTAGGAAACTTTTAACACCCCATTGAATCAAAGGATAGAATTTCCAGAAATAACATCAACAAAGAAAGAGCAGCCTTAAATGACACATTAGATCAGATGGATTTAATTAATATTTTTAGAGCATTTTACCCCAAAGCAGCAGAATATACATTCTTTTCAAGTGCACATGGAATATTTTCCAAGATAGACCACATGTTAGTCCACAAAACAAGTCTCAGTAAATTTAAGAAAACTGAAATCATACCAACCATCTTTTCTGATCACAATGGTATGAAACTAGAACTCAATTACAAGAAGAAAGTGAAAAACACAAACACATGGATGCTAAATAACATGCCACAAAACAATAAATGGGTTAACAATATCAAGGAAGAAATCAAAAGATACCTGAGACAAATGAAAATGATAACATCACTCAACATCTGTGGGACACAGCAAAAGCAGTTCTGAGAGGGAAATTCACAGCAATACAGGCCTACCTCAAGAAACAAGAAAAATCTCAACTCAACAATCTAACTTTATACCTAAAGGAACTAGAAAAAGAACAGCAAACAAGGCCCAGAGTGAATAGAAGGAAGAAAATAATAAAGATCAGAGCAGAAATAAAATAGACCTTTAAGAAAACAATACAAAAGATTAATAAAACCAAGATCTGAAAAAATATACAAAGTTAATGAACCTTTAACCAGACTCATCAAAAAAAAAAAAAAATAGAGAAGCCCCAAATAAATAAATTCAGAAATGAAAGAGAAGTGACATCAGACACCACAGAAATACAAAGGATTATAAGAAAATACTGTGAATAATAAATTGGACACCCTAGAAGAAATGGATACATTCCTAGAAACATACTATTTCCCAAGACTGAATCAAGAAGAAACAGAAAATCTGAAGACTAATAACTACTAACAAAATTGAATCAATAATCAAAAAACTCCCCACAAACAAAAGTCAGGGACCAGATTGCTTACAGGTGAATTTTACTAAACATTCAAAGAAGAATTAATACCTATCTTTCTCAACTGTTCCAAAAAATTCAAAAGAGAAGGCCTCTAAGTTCATTTTATGATATCACCATTACCCTAATTCCAAAACTAGGCAAAGACATTACAAAAAAAGAAAACTACAGGCCAACATCTCTTACAAACATTGACGCAAAAATCCTCAACAAAAATTCAGCAATACATGAAAAAGATTATACACTATGATCAAGTAAGATTTATTCCTGGGATGCAAGATTGGTTCAATATCCACAAATCAGTTAACATGACACATCACATAAACAAATGGAAGATTAAAATCATATGATCATATCCATATATACAGAAAAAGCATTCGACAAAATCCAGCATTAGTTTATGATAAAAACCCTCAGCAAAGTGAGAATAGAGAAAACATACTTCAACATAATAAAGGTCATATATGACAAACCCACAGCTAACATCATACTCAACAGGGGAAAGCTAAAAGCATTTTGTTAAAGATCAAGAACAAGACAAAGATATCCACTTTCACTACTTCTATTCAACCTAATATTGGAAGTCCTGGCAATAGTAATTAGACAAGAAAAATAAATAAAAGGCATCCAAGTTGGAAAAGAAGAAGTAAAAGTGTCTTTATTTGCAGATGACATGATAGTATACATAGAGAATCCTAAAGATTCCACCAAAAAACTATTAGAACTGATCAATGGATTCAGTAAAGTAGCAGGATACAAAATTAATGTTCAGAAATTGGTTGCATTTCTCTACACCAATAACAAATTATCAGAAAGAGAAGTTAAAAAACAATCTCATTTACGATTGCATGAAAAAAAATAAAATACTTAGGAATAAATTTAATCAAAAAGATAAAAGACCTATTCTCAGAAAATTATAGGTCATTGAAAAAAGAAATTGAGAAGATACAAATAAATGGAAGCATATACCATACTCCTGGGTAGGAAGAATCAACATCATGAAAATGGCCACACGAGCCAAAGCAATCTATAGATTCAATGCAATCCCTATCAAAATACCAATGGCATTTTTCAGAGAACTAGAACAAATAATCCAAAAATTTATATGGAACCATAAAAGATCCCAAATAGCCACAGCAATCTCGAAAAAGAAGAACAAGTTGGAAGTATCACAGTACCTGATATCAAACTATACTACAAGGCTATAGTACTCAAAACAGCATGGTACTGGTGTATAGCATAGGAAATATAGGCAATAATATTGTGATAGCATTGTATGGTGTCAAATGGTTGCTGGACTTATCATAGTGATCACTTCTTTAGATATAAAAATGTTAAATAACTATGGTGAACACCCAAAACTAATATAATATTGTGTGTTACCTCTTTTAAAAAAACATTCTTGAGCAAAGGGAATTTTTAGATAAACTGTGTTTCTGGTCCATCTCCTGCATTGTAATTCAGCAGATTTACTCACACAATCAAATGCCAGTCTTTTGTGCAATAAAGGGTTTTAACTGTGAAAAGTTCAACCCATTCAATGGATGGCATTGCTCTTCCACCTTTTCCATCACCCCAGTCTGTTTCCTCAGCCGCTCAGCCACCTGGGCAAAGTACAGGTCTAAGAGAGGCACCCCTGACCCCGGGACTTAATGTTCACTTCGGTCAGGGAGTTGACCATGAGCATGACCCAGACGGGCCTCTTGTGCTCCCAGTTTCCTGTGATGGCATTGGAAAGGTAGTCCGCATAGAGACCCTTGCCACACTGATCTGGGGTAATCCACAAGGGCATCCTGGAGGTTCTTGCCCTGTGGCAACATCTGACAACTAGTGAGGGTGGAGATAGTTAGTGTAGGGGTCTGTGAGATCCAGCTCAAAGTACACAATGCTGTTGTGCTGAAAAGCCTCCTTGGAATCGTTCGGGATGAAGTCCCAGACCCAGGTGTATGGGACATGGATTGTGCCAAAGAAGTAAGACAGAGGGTCTCTCTTTATGGTCCACAAGAAGGAATTCAATTCATTTTGCTAAAAGAAAAGGAAACAACATTAAGGTATGGTATGAAGGGTTAAGTGCCTAAAAGGAGAAAATGAATTCACAACCGTAGAATCTACAAATAATGAGGATCAAATATATTTGCATTTGTGTGTTATTGTTTAAGCAGCAGCAACCAGTTTTAAATGAAACATTACACAATCTCAAAATATAAGACGACAAAAATGGAACTGGTTAAAGCAAGGGTCTTATTCTCACAGCCTTCAATCTTCTTTCTCCACACGCCCCCTTGCCACCTTCCACAAAAACACCCTCTGACCACTCAGATGAGGGCAGAGGCAGGCATGTGGGCTGGGGGTGACACCATGGGAGGAGGTCAGTGGCAAAGGAGCCCACATCTCTCAATAAAGGATGTTGGCTAAGCATCCCAAGCCAGTGCTGGCCATGCGAGAACAGGCCTAGTGCTCCAGAATGGACTTTTCAAAAGAAACTAGAAATCCTGATTTTACATAAAATCTTCCAGTTGGGAAATGTTACCTCAATTTTATTAAATGCCATGCAAGCCAAGCAGAATATATCTCAGTAGCCCCAAGCCTGTAACCTTGTTTTTTAAGGTATTTACGTTGCAGTTCTGCTCACCCATCTTTTCGAGGGTGCACTAATTGGGCAAAAAAAGCCTAAATTCTGCTTCTGTCTGAGCTACCCCATTGAGGTTTTTTAAAAGCCACTACATTTCTCTATACCTCAGTTTTCTCATCTGTAAAAGTTAGATAACAACCCGTGTCATAGTTTAGGGTAATAAACAATTTGACAGGTAATTGTTAAATGAATGAACAAATGAAAGAAAGAAGGTATTTTTAAAACCTACTAATGGTCAAGTAAATATTAAGAGATGAATCATGTAGGGGCTTTCCAGCCAGTCCTCAGATATCCTGTTATGGAGTAATGAGGGTCCCCAGGGTTATTTAAATACTTCAAAAAGCTGAATGGAAACTGCACACCTACTAAAAATGGCTTCCCAGGCTAATTAAGCAATCAAATGTCTCACTGTTGCTTAGAATCAGATCAAGCTGGTAGAAAAACTAGATGCCAATCAAAAGATGAGACTGATAGTTATGGCTTTAGTTAATTTCAAATGGGTAACAAAATAATCGTCTATAAATGCAACTGATATGCTAGAGGTAGTCTTCCAAGCGTAGGTTCAGTTTGGTTATTTGTTCTTTATAGAGCGAAGAGCTGATAATCAAAAAAGGGTCCTGAATGGTGATTCGACTGGGCATCTCCAGATTACATAAGAAATCTGATCACACAAGTCCCATGCAGTCTACCAAAGGACTTCTACACAGTTTCCAACAGGGAAACACGGCAAAAAGGCCAAATGTTATGATTAAACCCGTGGGCACCTAATTCATGTATCAGACCATAATATTAAACAAATATATTCCCAGGAAAACCAAACCCATACTGCAGGAACGTGATGTATTGTGCTGGGGGGAAGGGGGAAAAGAAGAAGAAGGGAGGGTTGTTGGCTTGGTTTGGTTTGGTTTGGGTTTGTTTTTACCCAATTCATATAATCTCTCTAAAGTCTCATCCTACCTCAAAATACTTACACTTCTATTTAAACAAAATCTGTTCAACTATATGTACCCGTTTTATTTATTTATTTTATTGTTGACTTTTCAATTATTATTAGTGTAGAAATAGGATCATTGTATGATCTTTTCAATGAAAATTGCTCAAATTTAAAAAAAAAAAAGCAAGACTCATTTTAGCATCTAGCCATGTGGTAACAATTATGATGCTAAGAACAGCCGGCTGTTACTGAACGTTAAGTGTGCCAGGTACCACCCAAGCATTGCACATGGATTGTCCTACTACATTCATTCAACATTCATTTGTTCCACGATGACTTATGCTGTGCCTACCATGTGCCAGGCAGTGTTGTAGGCTCTAGGCACCGGTGTGTTCTAGGGCACTAGGAATACAGCTGTGAATGAAACAGCTCCCTGAATCAGGTATGGCTGTGATAACTGAGATGGAGAACATGAAAGTGGGAAAGGGAGCAGGGGGACTAGAGGAGGTGGAGTGCAGCCTTTAATAGGGTGATCATGAAAGTCTGCTAAGTCATTTAAGCCTCGCCATGAAGGAGGTGAGAGAGCAAACCAGGGAGCTGAGAGAAGAGCATTCCCTCCAGGAGGTGAAAACAGCAGTGCAAAGGCCCTGAGGCAGGATGACTAAATAGGAAAGCAGGCGTAAAGATCAGAGAGGTGAGGGTGGCCAGGCCACAGGGCCCATGCGCTACTGCAGCGGTCTCCAACATTTTCGGCACCAGGGACAAGTGCTCCTGTGAGAATCTAATGCCTGATGATCTGAGGTGGAGCTGAAGCGGTAATGCTAGCACTGGGGAGTGACTGCAAACCAAACACAGATGAAGCTTCGTTCCCCCGCCCACTGCTCACCTCCTGCTGTGTGGCCTGGTTCCTAACAGGCCACGGACTGGTACTGGTCCATGGCCCAGGGGTTGGGGACTGCTGGGCTACTGGAAAGGTTCAGGCTTTTATGCTGAGTAAGATGGGAGCTAGCGCAGGTTTTTGTGAGAACAGTGACATAAACTGATTTAATGTGTTAACAGAATCATTCTGACCGCTGCAATGAATAGATTATTGAGGGATAAGGGCAGACTCAAGGTCAGTTAGGAAGTTGCTAAAATAATCCAAGTGAGAGAACAGACTGATAGTGACAGAATTGATAAGACGTGATCAGATTCTGGACATATTCTGAAAATTAGAGCCAATAGGATTTGCCAATGAATTGATTAATGAAAGGGACGAAGTTGCCATCAACTGAGATGGAGAACACAGAGGGTGGAACAGGATTTGAGGGGAAGGTCAGAAGTTTGGTTTCGGCCCTGTTGAGTTGAATGGTCAAGCAGACATCCAAGTGGGGAAGTCGAGATGGTAGGTGGATGCATAAGTCTGGAGTTGAGAGAGGCCTGGGCCACAGATAAAAATGAGGGTATCATCACCATGTAGATGTTATTTAAAGCCATGAGACTGGATAAGCTTTCCAAGGGCCTAAGTGTAAATGTAGAAAAAAGGTTTAGATATGCTCTAACTTTGCAAAGTCACAGCAAAGAAGAGAAGCCAGAAAAAAAAAAAATGAGAAGTGATCAGTGAGGTTGTTGGGAAAATCAGAAGAGTAGGAAGCCAATCAAAGGAAAATGCTTCAAGGAGAAAGTAAGCAGGTGGGGTCACTGTGGCTGATGGGCCAAAGGAGTCGAGGATTTGAGAATTGACCTCTGGATGGAGCAACACTGAGGTCACTGGGGACATGGACAAGAACAGTTTCGGTGGCATGGTAGGGTGAAAGCCTGCCGGTGCCCACCCACAAGAAAATGGGAAAAGAGGAATTAGGAAGACATGCAACTAAACAAGACATTGACCATTTCCAGATGGAGAAATTGAGGCTTTGAGAGATCTATGATGTTACCCAAGGTCTCATGGCTGCTAAATAGTGGATCCAGGATTTGAAGCCAGGGCATGCTGGCTCCTAACCCCTAGGTTTTAAATGCCACATTGTACAGCCTTAATATGCAGCGGACTTTACTCAAGATTCATAGTCATATCTTTTCTTCAACAAATACCCTAATTGGTGCACTGTTGCTCAGTGGAGCTACCTGACTCAATCCAGAAAAGTCTATTCAGCTCCCTTTTCTGAGCCCTGATGACCCGCCCAGATAAATCCACACTGACATCTTTAAATCCTCAAGCTGCCAACTTTTCCCATTCTCTCTTTTCAGGATAACACAGTTGCGGGGTGGAGGGAGGGGGCCCACTTTTTTTAAGCCAGGGGTCTTAAAGCATTTTTAAAGAAACAATCCTCATCTTATAGAACTTCTTCAACAAATGGAGTTCTGTTCTGACCGAGTAGGGCATCCTGTCTCCCATTCTGCACCAGCGACCATCCCTGCTGGCCACTGACACTGCCATACCGGGCATGCCTTGGGCAGGGTGCGAGCTGAAAGAAGAGCCTTCAGGCCTTCTGATCAGGGAGCTCTGACCTTGCCTTTGCACATGAGCGAAACCCCAAAACGCTGCACTGATCCTACAGGTGCAACTGCCCCCACCTCCCTCATACTGACATCCTCGGGGTAGGGCTGTTTGTCTCCACAAAAGAAAAAAAAATTGCTCTACTACCTCATTTCACTGTCATTATGGCCACCGCATGCTACTAGAGAAAGCCATGTATTTTAACATTATGATGATTTAAAAGAAAAAAAACACTATTAACATGTCCCTTCTAAAACATATTGCAACCATCCTAAAAGAAAAAGACACGTCCATGGAGACACAAGAAGCTACAAGTTCTGTCATCTGAATCTCCAGAGATTTTAACACACACGTGTGTAATCCATGCAATGACATGAAGGAGCACAATGATAGCATGTGTAATGTGGACTAAGTGGCTACACCCCTCAGTTCCTCCCATCTCAGCTTCCTGGAACCTGTGGTAACTGCACTTTTCCAAGAGTACTCTTCAGCAGACCAGGGAGAATGATACTAACATAAGTCGGCTTTAGTTTACCTTTTTCACTTAAGAAATATTTATTGAGCATCTAATATGGCTGGCCACTCTTCTAGGCACTGGCAATGCAGGAACAAACAAAAGAGACAGAAGTCCCTACTCCTATTAAGATTACATCATTTTTGTTACAATAAGCAACAACAAAAAAAATGCTATCAGATGATGGGTAAGTGTTCCAGAAAAAAATAAATCAGGAAAGGCAGATAGGCGGGCAGGCAGGGTGTGGAGTAGGGGTCGGGGACATAATCTTTAATAGGTAATCAAGAAGGGTCTCATTGAGAGACATTTGAGCAAAGACCAGATGGAAGTATGGGAGCAAGCACGTGCATATCTGGGGAAAAAAACAGTGAGTGTGAAAGAACACAGGTAGGAACAGTAAAGAACTCAAGAGTTCTGTTTGAGTATTGATAAGGAAGAGACAGGGCCTATGTGGTGCTCAGGGTAAAGCCCACAGTGTCTAGATAGCTTCAGCTCAGAAGACCTCTCTAATGATTAACTAAAGTTGAACACCAAATCAGCTCTCAAGCCATAGTCCTTCCCGAAAGCTATAGTATAGTACTGCATTGGATCGAAAGCCCTTCTTAAGTCTCAATATCCTAGCCCTTTGGGGGACCTACCCACAGTGCCCTCTACAGCATACAGGTTAAGCACAAAGACCCGCTGGTGGCTGACCTTCTGACCTCTGCAGGGGAATAAGGCAGTTTGCCCACAGAATAGAAAGTAATTCTCAAAGTGTGGTCCAGGGACCTATGGGTGTCTTTATCACCCTTTCGAGCCATCTGTTAGGTCAGAATTATTTTCATAATTCTAAGATATTTTCCTCTTTCATTCTCTCACAAGTGTACAAATAGAATTTTCTGGAGGCTACAGGCATGTGATAACGTCATCTCTCTGATAGTTAATGGCACGTGTGCTCGTGTGTTCTTGTATTTTACTAATATTTCCGTTAACCCACATAAACAAAAGCTCTTTGGGAGACCTTGATACTTTTTAGAATGTAGAAGGGTCCTGAGACCAAAAAGTTTGAGAACTATTAGAATAAAAGACCCATGAGGACAGATTCAAGAGAAGAGAGAAACAGACCTTATTAAGACTCACCGGTCATAATATAATTACGAGCTGGTAATAGATTTTGCAGAAGTGAAAGCCATTCTGCTTTCATATGAAAGGATGGACTCCTGCTTTGTACAACGAGCTTGCAGTGGCCACACCTCAGCAGACTTTGAAACTCTTTCTGGTGTGTTCTTCCTCTCCAGGCCCCCGCACCTTCCGCCTTCCCGCAGCCCAGGCGCCTTAGGAACACATGGGAAGACAGTGTGGCTCCGCAGCCAGCTCCATGCGCCATGTCCAGCTCGACTAGGTCACCCTCTCCTTTGCTGTGCTTAAGTCAATGAATGAAATTAGGAACAGCCAGAGATGGACGCCTCCCGAGAGGCTGCTTCCGTGTCAGCGAAGATGAGCCGACCCTGATCTCCGGCACCTGGCGTCCGAGCGCTCATAGGCCACCGGAAAGACAAGCCAAGGTTCACCCTCCCTAGCGCCAAGGATCCAGAGATACGACTCACAGATACAAACTCGCAAAATTCAACCTCCACGGCGCTCAAATGAGAGGGAATTGAGAAAGACAAAAATTTTCTAGCCTGAGAAAATTGATCAGAAGCAAACGCTCATCTTCTAAGAGATCCAGCCTCGAAAACGCGAGACATGCCCTGTACCCGCTGGGCTTCTGCGCCTATACGACTGACTGGTGGACCGGAGCAAGTCACTGGAGCTCCCTCGCCTCGGTTCCCCTCGCCTGCAAAATGCCCAATGTGAACGGCTAAGGAAGCGCCCTACGCGTGAACGCAAGGCTGTCAGGCGCGGTCCTCCGCAAATGCACTCGGTGACTTGGAGCACAAAGGTCCCTCTGTGGGCCTCGGTTTCCCAGACCGGTAAAATAAGGGAATGGCTTCGGCTCCCCAAAATCCCTTCTCACTCAGGATTGAATAATAATATGAAGATTAAGTCAAGCAACTCGCAGGGTGCTTTCACCATTTGGGTAACAGCAGGAGATATTAAACGCTAGGGAAGAGAGGGCGGAACAAAGTTCCAAAGTAAATGTGCCCAAGTCTCGGCCCCACACTGTTCTCGCGGATTCGTCCCTCGAATGCCCCCAACGCTGGCTGGCGAGACCCAGGAGACTCCGCCGGGACTCCCTTGGGCTGGCAAACCGCGAGGACTGAGGGACAGGGTCTTCGGCGGCCACAGAGCTGCGCCCCCGCCGGAGAGGGGGACTGAAGGAGCCGCGGTGCGCGCAAGCAAGAAAGCGCCGCGGGGGAAGGTGGAGCCCCACCCGAAGAATCGGCTCGGGGTCCGAGTGCGCGGCGTTTCGTGGGGTTCGGGAGGTAGCCACCCGGGAGGCGCCGGTAGGCTGCCCGCCGGCATCCGGCGCGCCTTACCTGTGGCTTGAGCTCGCAGTCCACGCAAGCGGGCGCGCTGCGCGGCGGGACTGCGCCGGTGAGTGGTAGGCAGAGGGTCGGCAGCAGCAACCAGCGCCAGGGACTCATCCTTCTCACTCCGTCTCCGAGGCCTAGGCGCGCAGGCAAGGAGTTAGGCGGCAGGGGACGCCCGGGCCGGCTGGCGGGTGGCCGTGGG